TTTCATCCTATAAGCCTACAATACGTACATTATTTGCAAAAAAAATGTTAGCAATATTCCCCGTTGTTAAATTTTACTTCTACTAATTCCTTCTCCGCTCCTTTGTAAACGGCCTTGCAACAGCAACAACCCAACATAAATATTCTGAAAAAGATGATGGAAACACATGAATATAAATTAGCAATACAGAAGACGAAGATTTCCAATGCCGCCAAGAAATTGAATGATATGAAAGTGAACATGGTCTACCTTGAGTGGTACAAGAAGGACTCAAAAGGTAGGGAAATTGGATACTATGACATGTACAAAAACAAGCGGAACAGGAGTGACTTCAACGTCCAAGAGTTTAAGAAGAAGCTGTCGAATTACTGGCAGGACGCGGTTGAAGAAGTAGAGAATAAGCCCCAGAAAGAAGGAGCTGCCTTCCGAACTCGTTGGCTTATGGGAGGTACAACCTACAGAAGGATGATGGAACCACTTCACATTGCAGAGTACTACAAGGACAATGATGGGAAAAACTACATAGAGAAAAGGCCTGGGCATTTCATTCTGTTGGAGAAATGGCTCAAGGACGAGGAGAAAGGGAAGGTAGCAGAGAGAATTAGAAGAGGGGAGACAGTCGAAGATGGTCCAAGCAAGTCAAAAGCACAGAACGTGGCTTCTAGTCTGACTGATGATTCTTGTTTTTGGGCACATGTTGAGGAGGCTCTTATCTTATGCAATCAGCTGGAGAAGGGACAACCGAGTTTTCAAGAAAAGGAACAATGCAAGCAAAAGTTGAGAGAGTTTGAGGAGTATGTGTTGGATTCCCTCAAGAATTTTGCAGTAACGCCTGATATTTTCTTGAAGTATAGCAGCTTTATGGCATGGTGGAAGCAGTATAATAAAATTGTGGGAAGCTCAACCCAGCTGGCTCATATCATGACGGATGGCACGTACCGCGATTATGAGAAAGGGGTGAAGGTGGTTTCCTGATCTCTATAATCCAATGAATAAGTTTTATATGCCAACCGGATGGAGCATGTTGAAATTTGTGTCTTGTTGGTGTGCTTCCATTTGTATTTTCTTTTTCCTTTCCTAGTAGGCTTTGGTGGTTGAATAAACCTGTGTTGGTGGCTTTGTTGCTTTGTAAGGGTATTGCAAATTGGGTTTTGCTGCCAATCTTGGAATTAGCACAACTTTGTGGCTTGTTTTAAGTTGTATTAATCTTGCAGATGAATTTACAAAAGAAAAGCTTGTAACTAGTAAAGAAGTTGTAGCTGTAAGTTGTGTTGGTTTTCTGCTCAAAGGCAAAGGCCATTATTATGTCACACTGTCTTCTTCACACCCACACGCTTCATGATTTTACTCATTGATAAGATTGTGGAGTTTATTTATTTGCATGTATTTGAAGATTATTATAATTTTCTCTTGACAAGTGATAATTAAAATGATTCAAATGTACGGGAGGAGGATCGATCTCGAGTGTACGAGAGTAGACACACTCTCTTAGTCAACTCACCTAACTCTTAACTCATGTCTATTTGAAGATTATTAGACGGAATGGAATGAGTATTGACCATGTCAAGTCCAGCGCTAGTGATACACCGCTGGATGCATCGATTCATAAATACGACTAGATCACCGCTATTTAAGATTTAACAAACAGAAAAAAAGAGCAGGGCCAATGGGCGATTTCGAGAAATGGCTCTGAGGCTGACTTAGAAGTTTCCTCTTGCTGCTTGCTGCTTGGATTAGTAATCAAAGTTTTGATTGTATCTTCCTTTTCTTTCTTTCAGAAATATTGACATGTTGTATACCATACCACCATATCACCACATGAATCTTTCTTTTATGTGGTTTTAATAGGAATAGGATGCTTCTAGTTGGAGCATGGTTGTAAATGAACCTCATTCAACATCAATGGAAAGGGAACTTCACACAGTTTTGTCCATAACGGACTAAGACCAACTGCTATGCATTGGTTTTGCATTTTACAGCTTTGATTTATAAGGACGTTTGGATTGAGGAAATCATATATTACAAGGCTTGCAGTTGGGTATCAAATTACATGCTCGGCTCGGTTTTGATGGCAGGCTAGAATAGATACTATGCTCAATTATGCCATACATAGTTGATCAAACTGCAGGCAAGTTGGGGAGGGGAGAGGACTTGAAATCAGTCATTCCTTGGCTTGTCTTGAGAAATCCTTACTTCACTTTCCTCCATGCCCTTGTCACAAGCTGCCCCGGGAGGCCTTGTGCCCGGCTTTTTGTCGCCGGTGGTGGCCAGCTGCGGGCACAAAATTGTTTTGGGTGTCTTGACACTTTGTTTGAAATTGCGACTCAAGCCTTGTGTGTAGAAGGGTGAATTGAAAGATGAATGACTTTGTTAAGTTAGTGGGCTACAGCTCGGAGATCATACTAGTCATATAAATTTGTATATAAATTTCTACCGCTCCCTCAGGGGCTCAGCCTCCATATTAAAATATATATTAATGAGTATAGCCGTGCGGTTATACCCTTTAAATATATTCGAATATTTTAATAGTATAGCCGCGCGGCTATACACTCTGAAATTTTGGATATTTAAATAATACCGCCGGGCGGCTATATGCTTTAAATATATTTTAATATTTGTAGAGTATAATATTTAAATAGTATAGCCGTTCGGCTGTACCGTTTAAATATATTGGAATATTTAAGTAGTATAGCCGCTCGTCTATATGCTTTAAATATATTTTAATATTTTAGCGGTATAGCCGCGCGGCGAGACTCGTTAAATATATTCGAATGAAAATTAGCCCTCAAGAAACCCAAAAATAAAAAAATTAACTAAGAAGTGGAAAGCCATGCTTTCCCTTGATTTGGGTTTTGCTTCGATTCCTACCCTCTGGATTTGGGCAGGCTGTCCTTATGATAGAAGATCTAGTGGAGGATATTGCATATTTCTCGGCTCTAATCTCATAAGCTGGAGTGCTAAGAGGCAGCAATCAGTAGCTAGATCATCTACTGAAGCTGCTGAGTACAGATCTTTTATCCTCGATCGACTGCCTCTGAAATTACTTGGATGGGAAAGTTATTTACCGATACTGGTCTAAAGCTTTCTTCTATTCCAGTTTTATGATGTGACAACATCTCTGCTATTGCCTTATCAAATAATCCTGTTTTTCACTCAAGAACTAAACACTTTTGATGAGTTGGATTTTCACTACATCAGAGAACAAGTTCTCAATCACAACTCAGATATGTTTGCAGTCAAGATCAGCTTGCTGATATTCATACCAAGTCTTTAGCTAAGCAAAGCAAAGGTTTCTCTTCCTCAGATCCAAGCTGTCTCTTCAGTCCCGTCCGTTCAGCTTGAGGGGGTGTAAAGAGAACCTCTCTACAAGTCAACAACAAGTCACGGCTGGTCAAGGTCTGTTAACGGAGGTCCTGACGGCAACACGGACGGAAGTATTAAATTGGTAATAAAAGTAAACGTTGAGAATGAAAGTAAGAGAGAAAAAACTTTGAGGATGAAAGTCAAAATTTTGGGAAACTTGCGGGTAGTTGTCTTGGATACCAAGGATTAGGAAAATAGGCTAAACATATATGTTTTAATATTATGTATGGGAACAAACCCATCTTAGATGGGACCACCATGCACATGCACATGCATGATGCATGTCTCTTAATCAAACAGCTGCCAATTAATCTCTACAATTTGACCAACTTTTTTTTTATGTTTTGATTCAAACATTTTTCCCTCTTTCGATCCTCGGTTGTACTCAGCTGTACTCAGCCAGCCTCACTGACTTGTGGGGTTGGCCTTTTGGGTTTTCTGCTCAAAGGCAAAGGCCGTTATTATGTCACACTGTCTGTCTTCTTCACACCCACTTACTTTATGATTTTAAACTTTTCAATGCAAAATTTCTACTCTATGATTTTACTGCCTGATAAGATTGTGGAGTTTATTTATTCGCATGTATTTGAAAATTATTAGATTTTTCTCTTGACAAACTGATAATTAAAATGATTCGCATATATACGGGAAAAGTATCAATCTCGGGTGTGTGAGAGTAAACACTCTTTTCATCAACTGAACTAAACTCATGTCTACTCGAAGATTATTAGATGCAGTGGAACCGTGTCAAGTCCAGCGCTGATGATACGCCCCTGAATGCATCGATTCATAAATATTAAATACAATTATACAACTAGATCACCGCTATTTAAGATTTAACAAACAGGAAGAACAAAAAAGAGCATGGCAATGGGGCCCACCCCAGTTCAACAGCCATCTAGCTTTGCATGATCCATCATGTGACGGACGAAACGCACCGTAGCACCTCTCCCTCTCTCCCCCAGTTGCCACCTAATTAACTCAGCTCGATTTAATGATAAATTTAATACATCTACAAAAAGAGAATTATTCATAGAAAATGGCCGTCTACTGTATACTGTGCATACTGTGCATTGATAACCATAACCCTACGATGATCTAAGGCCATCTCCAGACATAGAGTTATATAGTCCAAGACTAAAAATTTAGCCTCCCAAAATATTAATTTTTTAAAGAATAGTGTAAATGTTTCAATCTCCAGCTATACAAGACTATATTTTAGGATTTTTCATATTTTATTATTTTCAAAAAGGAAAGTGAGGAGTACTTTAATGATTGGTTGTTGAAAAGCACATGGATAAGGCCCACTATAAATTTGGCATAAGCCAAAGCTGAGTTACATTTGGCCCGGTTAGAGGGCTAAAGGCAAAATTTTATTTGGCATATGGCTGGAGATGAGTTTTACATTAATTTAAGACTATATTTGAGATATAGCACATTGCTGAAGATGGCCTAAACTAGCTCACACTCCAATACCATCCCTCCCTCCACATCCCAACAGCGCTAATCTAACCACTCCCAAATCAGCAAGGGCATCTCCGTCATTTCACAAGCATCGATCCGAAGTCCAGTCCAGCCTATCCCCAGTTCAAGTGGGCCATACATCGCTCGCTCTCCTCTCTTCCCGTGATAGACGGTAGATAGAATGCCGCGTGTTCCCCCCGCCCCTCCCTCTCTACCGTAAAACCCTCTCATCTATCATGCCCTCTTTCGCTCTCTCACTCTCTCTTCCTCTGTCTGTCTTCTGTCTGTCTTCCTTCTTCAAGCTCATTTTGTTTCTCTGAGCTGAAGCAGTTGCAGAAGCAGCAGCAGCAGCAAAGCACGCAAACAGCACCATGGTAGCGTTCCTCATTGTCTTCCTCACATCTCTGCTAACTCTCACCACTCTCCCCGCCGCAGAGTCGAGACTGTACAGCAACTACTACCAAAAATCGTGCCCGAGATTCAACCAAATCGTCCAAGACACCGTCACCAACAAGCAGATCACCAGCCCCACTACCGCCGCCGCCACCCTCCGCCTCTTCTTCCACGACTGCCTCCACAACGGCTGCGACGCCTCCATCCTCGTCTCCTCCACCCCCTTCAACAAGGCCGAGCGCGACGCCGACATCAATCTCTCCCTCCCCGGCGACGCCTTCGACGTCGTCGTTCGCGCCAAGACTGCCCTCGAGCTAGCCTGCCCCAACACCGTCTCCTGCGCCGACATCCTCGCCGTCGCCACCCGCGACCTCGTCACCATGATGGGCGGGCCCTACTAAAACGGGCACCCTCCCGAGGCCAGCCATGCCGGTGTCTCAGCTCATCCAGGTGTTCGGGTCCAGGGGCTTTTCCGTCCAGGAAATGGTTGCCCTCAGTGGGGCCCACACCATCGGGTTCGCCCACTGCAGCGAGTTCAGCTCCGCGATCTACAACTACAGCAAGTCGGAGCAGTACGACCCGCAGTACAACCCGAGATTCGCTGCCGGGTTGCAGCAGGCCTGCGCCGATTACCACAAGAACCCGACGATGTCGGTGTTCAACGACGTCATGACCCCCAACAAATTCGACAATGTCTACTTCCAGAACTTGCCCAAGGGTTTGGGGCTTTTGAAGTCGGATCACGCCTTGTTCAATGACCCGAGAACCCGGCCTTTCGTGGAGCTCTACGCCAAGGACCAGAACTCCTTCTTTCAGGCGTTTGCGAGGGCGATGGAGAAGCTCGGCGTGCACGGGATCCAGACCGGGAGGCGAGGAGAGATTAGGCACAGATGCGATGAGTTCAATTAACTAGTTAATATTCGATTTATTCAAAATAATTATAATATAAAAAAAGGGCTTTTGTTTTAATTTTCATTGTTGTCTAAGTGCATTTGCATAAGCATTCGTGGTGAGATTTGTGAGAGGACCTGCTGATACTATGTATACATACATGTTTAATTTTTGTATTAAGGGGATATTTATTGAGCTTAAATTAATATACTTTTCTTTTTCTTCTTCTCTGAATATTATGTGTTCAAATTTTGTTGCATTGTTGTCGGTTTTGATCTTCATGGCTCCGAGTATCGTATATTGTGTCTGTTTGTTTGGGTGTCTTGGTGTTGGAAATTGCGTGGTTTAATTAGGGCAACTCATGGGGAAGTTCATCATGGGTTGTTTATTGTAGATTTGTCTTGGGAGAGTGTGTTTGTGGAAACACGATGGCAGCTAATGGCATTGGTTGAATATAATTAAAGATTATAATAATAGTATTAATGAGCAAATTAAGGCAGAGCTTTTTTAATTTTGGATGGATCATTTATGAATCAAGGCCTGCTCAAGTTTTGAGTTAAATTTTGTCTCTTGTTTAAGTCTCTACTTGACAACAAGAAGAAATTAAACAGCTTCTCATGTCGAGAGGAGGAGGAGTGAGGCAGTCAAACTAGAAAAATCTAACAGGCAGTCATGCGGGTTTCGATTTTTATTGACAACAAAGATTGTCCTTTGAGGAGGGGGGGTTTTATGCAACGAGAATAGTACTTTTTAGTATCCCGACCCAACTAATAATGTAATGACACATGGGTTTTATTCATTTTATTTTCCTACTCTTATTTTGTATGGTATTAGAAATAAACTTATGAATTATAGTCCACTTAGCTTATTTGCTGAAATTCAGCAGAAGTAGGAAGACTTTTAGCTTGCACATTGCTTTTCCAATACTCTTTTCAAATATTTTTAAAGATTGTATTTAAATCAGGCTTTCCAAATATTCGCACCCTTCCCACTGCTTGTTTCATTGGCTGTTGACACTCAAAATTCAACGGATTGAGCTGGCTCCAAGATGCATCCAAAAACCAAAATGTTGAAGGTTGGGCCCGCTGGCCCAGGAATAGCCTTGAGTTCTTATGGTGGGTGGGTTTTGTCTCTTGGGCTTATAAACCTGGACTCTTAGCCCTGCAATGTCAACCATGCAAGAATTCTATAGTGAGGGCCCTATATATTGCATTTGGATAAGGCCTTATCTCTTAATCGTTTGATCAAATTAGTTAGCCATTTGATTGAATTCCATGTAGCATAAAGATTTTTTTCTTTTGTATTTTTTTTTTTGTCGGAATCAAGTTTCATTAATAGAAAGGCAATGACAATTACATGATAGTGGAACTCATAAAAATGAGTCCAAACAAATGCAACAGTAGAAGCCTGCTAGAAATAAAACTCAAATAGGCATAAAATCATAGCCCAAAACTGACATATAGCCATAGCCAACCAAAAGCAGAAACACCACCAAACGCCAAAGTACCGTTGTCTCTGCCTCCATGAAAACCGAGACATCGCCACCAGGACTAATAATGAGTGAAAGAACTGTAAACACACCAAAACACACAAAACAAATACAAAAACTGCAAATATGAAAATCCCTCGCAATACATAAACCGACTATTAAAGACTCATTAACTCATTCAAAAATGAAACCACCAAAACACCAAGAAGGAAACAGCAACCAATCCAAGAACAAATCTAGAAAAACACTTCCCAAAGCAACAAAAAAAAAAATCCAAAGCAAGGAAAGAGGTGGTAACAACCCAAGAATGGAAGGATGTGGTGCAAGCAAGCAAGCAAGAGCTCTACACATCTTCCGAATGGGACACGAAAAATCATGTTTGGGATTAGTCGTTGCAGCCCATGGGGGTTGGTAAATCCAAAAGGGAGATATGGTCCTTGAAGAAGCCATATATGGAGGGAGGGATTTAAAGGGATATGGGAAATTAAAACAAAAAAGAAAGGATGATAAAAGAGATGGAATGAAAAGGAAGATCGAAGATGGAAATTGGAAATTGAAAGGAGTATAAGGGGGAGGTGCGTTGAAAGGCTATGAGGGTTTGAGAGAGAGGGTGCGGCAAGTCTTTAAGGTTTTATGTTGGCTTACTTGCAGAAAGATTGAAGTATTGAAGATTCAAATCACAAAACCCTTTCCTTAGAACTCATTCAACAATTACAAGTTCACAGCAACGCGACAAACAAAAGCCGACAATTTGCTAAATGTTTTAATCTAGTCCCGTATTTACAACTGAACAATGTTAATTATGTAATTCTCTTTAAACAAGATAATGTGACCTCATAATATTTAAGGTATAGGATTGAGATTGTTCAAATTGAAAACTCATGGAGTAAATTAAAACACTCAAAAAACTGTACTTAAAAAAACTCCTCAAATTATGTACTCAAAATTCGGACGAGTTGACACTTGACCCGCCTAATCCACCACCGAGTTTACTCCGATTTCGACTTCCGAGCCCCGAGTCGAGCAACTCCTCCCAATCCACTTCATCTTCTTCATC